ATTATACACTATTTAATATAAAGGTTGTTCAGCACACAAAAAATCTTATCATAATAATGTTTAATTAATCATGTTACCACAAATACGGTTGTAAAATAACTTATGAGGGTTCACCTGCTTAATGAATATACTTATGATATTAAATGTTATTAATTAACATTTACATTTTCCATGTTGTTTTCAATACATATAATTGGGATTTATTTATTTATTTAAACTGAGTACACCATGTTGCCTTAAACTCTGATCACATTTATATTTGTTCAAAATATTATTCAATCAAATATTATTTATTAATAGTTTTCAATCAAAACATTTGATTTATTAATAAAAATTGTTGTTGATCAATTTATTTTTCTATGTCGTCATTTTTGATTGAATGTGTGTAAATCTGTTATTAAAACACATCACTCGCCTCTATCAAACTTTCAAGGGCAGATGATATGGCTTTGCATGGTTCTGGAATAATCTTGGTAAGCGTACTTTTACCAATTGTATGGTACAATCCCAAATCCTGGAATTGAAAAACCAATCATTGGAAATTTTATTAATTTAAGAATAGGACTACTAATATTATAAATTATCATAATTTTCTTCTTAAATTGTCTTAAGTATTGATTTTTATATTTAAATTGGCAATGGCATTACAAGGTTTTATCCTTTTTATTATTTAAAATTAAATGTCATGATTTTATATAATATATATATATATATATATATATATATATATATATATATATATAGCTAGTCCGTCGAAATCGACCATGACAATTTGATTTATGGAATTCGTGCTAATTCTGAACTTTGCTCTGGGTGCGCAGATGGCCGATGAGACCGTTTCTGGCAGGAAAATGACTTGTACAGCAGCTGCAGGGGACTGATGGTACATCTCCCTGTCTAGCGTTAACCCGGGATATTCTGGCGTGCCTTTGGTGCTCTGCAGTCGCTGTTCTGTTGACTTCAAACTCTCAATAAGGGCCATCCATAAATGACGCAACGCTACTTTTCTTGATTTTGACCCACCCTTCCAACCCACCCTTATTTTATTTGATTTCAGAAATATTTAAAAAAAAGACAATGTCACACATCGTCACA